GTGGGCTACACTTTGTCAGCTGCCTCAGGAGGTAGTTCTGACACCAATTCTTAGAAGCAGTGGCGCCTGCAAAGACCCTGCCAAAGGTGCCAATCCCAAATAACACACCAGGGGCAATGGCTAGGAACTAGCGAAGCTGTCAATCAGAAGCTATTTGAGGAAGTCTGAAGAAGAGAGAGAAACGGGCGAAAGAGAAAACTCTAGAAGACTTGAAGCCATACCCAGTGCACTTGCATGAAGGAGCTCAGTCAGACCCTCTCTGCCTTTACAATCTGCAGGTCAATTTGCAGGGCCATTACAAACAAGGACTTAAGAAAAAGGAGATTGTTCTCCCTGACTTGTCCAACAGTGGAATCTCCCCTTCTCTCCTGACGCTCTTATCCACTTCAGATTTTTTTTATGATAGCGCTGAAGAATTTGGTATCACAGATGGCAAATCTAAAAGGTACAAATTGACAGACACATAGGGAAATTCCTAGCTTACTCTTATTAGAATGTGTACGTGCAATTCTCTTACTCTGGAGATTCAGAGCAAGAGAAATTCAGCTCCCATTCTTTAAGACTTACACAGAGAGCATAAAGCTGTTTGCACAGGCACGGAGGTGTTTATTTTAGTCTCTCCATTTCGTCCCAGGAATAATGTAATTCCTGCACTCAGAGCCGTTATTCTGAAAGGGGAGTCCATAAACACACAGAATTCCAGAAACCTTTATTACTGCTGTCCTCAAAAGCTAAATAGCACAACGCCTCCCTAAGAAAGCCTTTGTGAACTTCCCATCACACATCACAGAGCTATTAAATGGGTTGAATTTGAGCAGCACGCTATTGTTTCATTGTAAGGTGTGCACTGGAATGAAGCGCTATTCAGTCAGTCCCATTTTAGGGAGACACAGCACTTCGGGCCTGGCCAACTTTGAAATGAAACATGAACATAAGCAGGGATGAAATGATGTGATGGGAAGAGGCAAAACCACCACGGCTCGCAGAAAGCTGGGGCAGGATGCCCACAACAAGTGATAAAGCAAACCACTCACGTGGAAGAAGACAGGAAACACAGACAGCACAGAATTTAAAAAAAAAAAAAAAGTATTAGAAAATCCCCAAACTCTACTGATAGGTCTAGAAAAATTTTTTTTTTTAAATACACAAAGTGTTCCCTCTCCACATTTCTTTATACACATCAAATACCAACTTCTAAGGAAAAGAAAATCGTCTCACCCTTAAACTGCTATCAGATTCAAGCATTCCCATCAGAACAGCATGTGTGTTTCTTTCCCTAATGGCTCAGGCCCACACATGAGAAGCCCAGGGACACCCTTATTCTATCCTTAGACATTCACTCAATGAATATTTACTGAGTGCCCATCATGGAACAAGCAGTGTTTTAGGTGTTATTCATTCACCAGGGAAGGAGAATAAGATACTGTCCCTCCTTTTGCAGTGCTTACAGACTAGTTGAGGAGATTGATGATTAACAAATAAATACATAATATGTAAGGTGCTTAGAAAAAAAACATAGCAGGCTAGAGGACGGAGAGGGATGGGGTGGAGGTCAGGAAAGGTTGCTTTGAAAAGGTAACTCAAGGAAGCAGAGAAGCTTAGGAATGACATACGGATCACTGTCTCCTTGCTTAGACTCTAAACAATATTTGAGCACAGAGGTGGTTCATTTTAGAAAACTCAAGTTCAAAAATGGCTCCTGTTTATTTTCAAAAGAACCAGTGAATGTGTACCCTAAATTTAAACAGCTAAAGTTACAGTCTAAGGAAGGTCTCAAAGAAATACCTTTGAATTATCATGTGGTGCCCAGGACAGTCCTGTGGAAACAGGTTCATGGTGGTAAAAGATGTAATAATTCTAAGACTGTGTTCAATGTTTTAAACACAGTTGGAAATGAGGTAGTGTCAAATCATTGATTTTTAGGAGCCAAAGGTAAAATAAAGGTTCAATCGGCCTCATCTAAGGCTGATACTTTATGCAACATGAGACACTTAGAGCGAGAACCACCCCTGGAGTCATCTAACTCAATTTTCTCCCGTCGCCCATCATCAAATGAGTCCTCAGGGTGGAGAGGGCCCAAGGTTATACGATTAACAATAGCACTGTGCATCAAATCCAGGTTTGCTGACTCTGAGCTCAGCCTCAGCATCACTCTCTTCTTGCACAAGATACCCCACCTTAGAGCCAGTCCGAAACACCCTCAGGGGCAAAGGCCATCTGCTGGCAAGCAGTGGCAGATTTGAGAGGCAGTTAATCAGACATGCAGAGGAGTGAAAGCTGGGAGCAGGGAGTTTGGGGTGCAGTCTGCAGGGACTGCTGAGCATGGGAACCACTACTTTTTCAATGGCTGCTGTGATTATCACTCACATAGTTATACACCCACTCCCAGATCCTGTCTATGTGCAAACACACATTCTTTGGAAATTACCTTCCTTCTCTACTGCGATAGCTCTCCATGGCAGAGGCTTTGGGGCACACAGGACACCAGAACCAGGCAAGATAGAAAATCAGTGTCGTAAACATGTGCCCAGGTAATGAAAGGTTACTAATAACACAATTTTCTAAGAAAACTAGGAACCCCCACTGCCCTTACCAAGCAAACGCGGTTTTCAAAGAAAGTACTTAGCATGCAAAGAGTTCACTAGAATTTGGTATTTTCTTCCTCTCTCGACACACTCCATCTACAGAAGGATTTTAAAACTACTTCAAGTCTGCCATGTGGCATCTTAAAGCGTATACTTTAGAAGTTCTTTGAAAACCTCACTTAATCTTTGAGGTCTGACAGGGTGTCACATGAACAGTTCAAAGCAACGGTAAAAACAACAACAAAAAAACCCAACCAGATTTGAAACAAAAGCTATCTTGATTATGGTAACTGCACGAGTCATTTAAATAGAGCCTGAAACCTAAAGCAATTTTACATATGACATTTGTTTCCTAGGATGAAAACGCTGAAAAAAATGCCACCAGAAGTGCATTCTAACAGTTACCTGATTGGGAAAATGATTTCTAGTAAAATACACCGTAACTGGAGTACCCAAATCTAACATGGCCCACAATTATTCCTTGACAGTGATAGAAACTTCTACAATAAGGTTTTTTCTTTTTTAAATAATAGTGCCTTCACCATGCTCTGTCCCTTATGGGGACGCCAAACTGAAATACTGACTGCTTCATAAAAAGGTAGTCTGTGCTGGGGATGGTGGCTCATGCCTATAATCCCAGCATTTTAGGAGGCAGAGGCGGGAGCATCTCTTGAGCTCAGGAGTTCAAGAACAGCCTGGACAGCATGGTGAAACTCTGTCTCTACCAAAAATGCAAATAATTAGCCAGGCATAGTGGTGTGCACCTGCGGTTCCAGCTACTCTGAGGGCTGACGTGGGAGGGTTACTTGAGCCCGGGAGGCAGAGGTTGCAGTGAACCGAGATCACACCATTGTACTCCAGCCTGGGTGACAGAGTGAGACACTCTCTCAACTAAAAAAAATAAAATAAAAATAAGGTAATATGGAGCAAAACACAGACTTGCAAAATATCACTGTATGGGGGCTCGTGACTCGCCCAAGGCACTTGATCTCAACAGTAGGAAAAGGATTCAGGTCAGCTGATTCCAGGTTGACTGATTTTGACTAGACTCAGCATGTACAGAATGGAAACACACTGAAACTTCATTGTCTCTTGTTGTCTGCTTTCAATGAAGCACTGGGAATATCTGAATTTAATAAGCTCATAGTAATATTACTGATTATTTAACCCTAAGAAGAAGACATAGATACATATGCATATTTTAACAAAAATGTTTAGAAATCCATGAAACAAAAAAAAAATTAGGAAATTTTTTTTCCACATCAATACTTTTCTCCCTGATACATGGTGCACTTTGCACTTTTCAAATCTTTTACGCAATGGCAAAAAAAAAAAAAAGGGTAATAAATGCTCAAAAAAGTTTTCTGGCTGAATTAACAAGAAGCTGGAAATGTAAAAAATATATATATATATATACACACACACACACACACACAAATAATATACATATATGCAACAGAAATATTCATATGTATTTATATATACATGCAAACAACAACAAAAACCTAAAAGCAATTGTCTCATTACTTCCTAAAATTTGAAGATAGTATCTTCTCATTCTCAGAGGTGCTCACAAGCCACCCTGGGCTTCAGGTGACTCTATTCTTTCCTGGTCAAAGCCACCCTGGGCTTCAGGTGACTCTATTCTTTCCTGGTCAAACTCAGCTGACTCTGTTTTGTGAACCAGTTCAGCAACAAGGTAAACTCTCCAGAAAGCAGCAGGGCTGAGCACCCTTGCATTATTTCATAATGGAAGGGCTTCCAGAAGTCACATTTTGTCATCTCTTCCATTACCTGATACTAAAACTTGTCATGCAAGGCAGCCCTCAGCTGACGTGTGGGAACAAACTTTACTCCTCTCAAAATCCCAAGCCAGTAACCCAATCAAAACCAGTAAATCAGCTCATTGTGAATAAGAGAAGCACCAAACACAACTTATGCTTATAACTTGCATACCTCAAGATTTTAAAGACCAGAGAGAAAAATGCCATTTTCATCAACTGCGCATAAAGAAGACTAATTGCTGGATGGAAATTCTGATTGCTAAATCTTAGCCTGGAGAATTTTACCCACTGCTCACCAACCTAAAAGAATTGCCATAGCCCAGTTTAAAAGGCTGCTCTAAATCGGATACAATTTGATTGTACCAGTAGAAAAGATGTCCCTACAGTGAAAGAATCACTGTATTCCATCTTTTTATTCCAGAGGGAGATAGTCTGCAGCACGCCATAGAAGCTGAAAGGCAAGTTCTAGCAAATACAAACAGGACCTCTTCCTTCAAAAAAAGAAATTCACTAGCCGATCACCTAGAGCTCAGGCTAATACCCCTTCAACACCTGGCTCAGTTACATCAAGTGATTCATGAATCCTGACAAGGCAAGCCACTGCAGATACTGTTTTTGGTTGTTAACTTACAACATTCACTGTGTACTGTTCACAGGTAGCCTCAGCCTATACTTCACCATGGAGACTTCCCACAGGCGCTGGAGGGCTCCTCAGGGCCCTTGGGCTCAGGCGTGTTCTTTCTTCCTTTCACAGCAAAGTGAGAAATACCTGGCATGGAAACAGAACAGAAGAAAAAGAAAAAGGTAAACACATCGTCAAATCACTTCTTATCTCAACAAATACAGTCTCACCACCAATTAGACGAATTGATAGTTCACCGAAGACCATTTTCTTAAAAAAGAGGTTCAATATGTCTGCTCTTTCCCCAAAAAGAACACAGCATGGTACAGCCAGCCTCTCCTCACCCCGAAATTGAAGCCATTTCTGAGACTTCAGACACGATCTTAGCTGACACGCAAGCCTGCAAAAGCCTCAACACAGGCCACTTGGCTTTTATGCAGAAGGAGGCAAGGACGAGCATGTTTTGCCATTCTCATACCTCACTAGGTTATGGAGAAGATCAAGAGGATCATTCCTGCAAAGCACACACAGTTCCCCAGAAGAAAGCCACTATGTAAACGCAAGGCATTATTGGTGGTCATAAGCCTGTTCTGAGCTCTGGGGCACTGGCGAGGCACCAACAATCAACTATCCCTGGAGCATCCAAATATCTGCATGCCCTACTGTGCTGAGGTTCAGGAGAGAAAAGGAACAGAAACGAAGGCGTCTCGCATCTCCAGGAAAAAGAAAGTGAAGGTGTCAAGCAGGAGGCTGAGACAGTGGAAGGTGGGCAGGAGGGCACATGCAGGAGCGTGGTTATTTGGTACACGGCTCCCTCAGATTGCTGGTTTGCAGCGTTTCGTGCACTGAATGTTTGCGACGCTGTGAAATTTTCCACTTGGCTGTCTGCCATGCCCACCCACCGAAGACAACACTTACACCCACATAAGTGGCATACTGGGACCTTGCTGGAAAAGGACTGGATAACTGTTGTTTATTGGCTGTTGCTTTTAATGAAAAGACTTATTCATATCCTGATCATTAATATTTTCCACACCTGGACTTCTTGATTCAGCACCCCCCGCCCCCACAACCCCGGCCCTTTTTAAGGCTGACCAAGGAACCGCTTCTCCCGGAACAATGCTATCAACTTATTTTGCCCGGTGTACTTTTGAGAAGCACACTTGAGGCACAGGAACTTCTATTAGTGGCTTTGGGGATGATGAGAAACAGAATTCAGGTGTTACACTAGAATCTCGTGTGCTTCCCAAATACACCATCCTCACAGGCAAGTCACGTTTTTCCTTTCAAAGTCACGAGCATGCACGGAAAAAGCAGAGTTGTAGTATTAGCACTGTGGGTGTCATTCATAGCATTTCTGAGGAAGAAAAAGAGTGGTCCCTTATCTCAAAAAAGGCAAGAATGAGTAACAAATCTTAGATTTAAAATTGGTAAAACACTGACAAGCAGGCCTCAAAATAACAAAAAAAAAAAAAAAAAAAATGGAGAGACAAAATTAGGACAGAAGAAAGGAGGTGTCTGCTACTCATATAATTAACCATCACTTTCATAATGAATATAGTTTACCAAGTGCTTTCTCATTAATTAAATCATTCGCTTGATACAATTTTACTTGGTATTTGCTACATCCACCAGGCTCTGTGTTCAGCTGGGGAATACGTGGAAAACAAAGTAGCCAAGGACCCTGCCCCCAAGGAGCTCACTGCCTCAAGACTGACAGACATTAAAGAATTACATGAGTTTAGTAGCTGCATAAAATTTGGAAACTATATAGGCAATAAGAAGGAAAAATGAACATTGTGATTTGAAGTCACTCACTTGGAAGGAGGGTTTCAGGAAGGCTTGTCTTAACAAAACTAACATTCAAACAGGGAAGTTGAAGTTGAGTAGAAGTTAGCCAGGCATCAGGTTTCCAGGTAGAGGAAACAGTCTGTGCATTATATGAACTAATCTAGTGATGTACAACTGTTTTCTGTTATTTCACTTTTTTTATTTCACCATTTAAACTGAATCTCCTTGAAAAAGAAGTGAGTGACACAACTGTTCTCCATACCTCGAAATAAGAGATGATTCATCTTCTGACTGCTAGGCCATCAGAGCAACACACACCTTCTCTGTGATTAATTGCTGTGAGAGGAACACACCTGATGCAGGTATTATTCTTGATGTGATGGCAAATGACCTCGCTCTCTAATGCACCCCAAGTCACTCCATCGTCACAGTGAAATAAAAGGAAGCTCTCTGTTGACATCTGCATGCCACAGCTGAAGTTAAGAAAACCCTCCCCCAAAAAGGACTGAAAGCAGATCACGTTTTCTTAAGTACCTTGAATCAGGTACCAAATTTCTGGCTTCCCCTTGATGATTACGGTATTTTTATTTCTCTCTTGGGCTTAAATAACTCTTATGTCCACCTTTAACAGTGTCTGTCAACCTTCCCTCTTGGTTCTTGGTTCAGTGATCTGCTTGTTTACCCACATGAGCCGCAAGCAAGGTACAAAGAAATTAAAAGCAATGGAAATGTCATGTTCATCTGAAGTGTTTTCTTCTTCTCTACCTTCCCAGATCTGGCTCAACTTAATTCTTCCACTAAAGAAAATCAGTAGTTTGCGTTCTTCATCCTACAACGTTAAAGCATCACCCAACAGGCTCATTCATGTTCTCTCCATAAATGAAGTAAGCCTGAAAGCCTGTCTGAAACGAATATACCAAACTTCTATTTGAGTCTCTTTCCATTTAAAATGCCTGAGCTAAAATGTAATTTATCCTACAAGCTTCTCATACAAACAAAAATATTAACAATATTCCACATTCAATGTCTCAGAATATAAACTTCCCTTTGACCTGGCAATTGTGACACACTCAGAAAGAAGAGAGAAAACATGGAAAAGCACTTACTGAAGCCAAGCTGCCCAATATCTTGCCATTGAACCTGGGAAATTATATCAGGCTGTCAGTTTCATCCTCTGCCTAGAGAAGAAAATGACACAATGCCAATTTCTCCTTTCCTGACTGCCCACAGCACTTACAGTCTCTAGCACACATTCTGACCCAAGGTCCTTTTCAGTTCAGCACTTTGTTATACTGTCTTTTTATACTCCACTGGATTTATTTAAGTCTTGAAGGCTCAAACAGTTTCTAAGCTCCTTGATGAAAGAAACCTTGCCATGCCCTTCTTTTGCAACCTCCTAATGGCGTCTAGTGGAAGAGACTGGATTTAAATTAAATGATCCATATCCAAAACCTGTTCTAGGACTTAACCCTTACTCCAAAAGAATCACCAGTCTACAGCTACACTTTAAGCCCATTTCACCTTTCTGTGTCCTCCAGGGACTTGAAACTCTGATGATGCCCATCATCATCATGTGTCAGCCCTCCACAAACTTGAAAAAAATTAAATTACAACTTAGCCTTTCTGTTCCGTTCTTCCAATCCATTACACTTTTAGTCATTAGTGGATTTTGAACAGTTGTCATCGCCTTTCAAGATCTACAAACTCTCCCACTTCTTGGTCACCAGCAGCCTACATCCTTAGTTCTCACAGCTTCTCAAAGCCACTATTAAGGAAACACTCGTGCCTCTGAGGCAGTGATACTCAAACTCGATGGAGCAATCAGAAACGGCTGGAGAACTCCACGTGCAGTGGCTCACGCCTGTAATCCCAGCATTTTGGGAAGCTGAGGTGGGAAGGGGGCTTGAGCTCAGGAGCTCGAGCCTGCAGTGAGCTATGATCACAAACTGCACCCCAGCCTGGGTGAAAGAACAAGACTCTGACTCAGAAAAAAGAAAAGAAAGGAAAATAAATGGCTAGAGGGTCTTGTTAAATCAGAGTTTGCTGGGACCCACCTGTAGAAATTCTGAGTCAGTAGGCTGGGGGTGGGGTCAGAGAATTGTATTTCTGACAAGTTCCCAGGTGATGCTGATACTGCTGATCAGGGACCACACATTTAACCACTTCTCTAAGGTTAAATATTACTGTCAATTACAGGGCCAGAGAGATGCTGAGGATCTTTTGCGTATATTTAATGACCATATGACAGCTACATTGAAAGCAATGACACCTGTCTATTTCAAAGAGGTGACAAGCAAAAAAAGAAAAAAAAAAAAAACCTCAAAACCCCAAAACCAAAAAAACTTCACACAGTGTATTACCCAGGTTATGACACTGTATGTAGTCTCTCTACCTGGGCTCTGAATCCGTTCTCCTCCTACTGGCTCCAGATCTTGCTGGGGTCAGTTCTGCCCCTGATTTCCCTTCCGTCTTTTTTCTCTCTATTGGAAAACTTCTCATACTCCAAGCATATTCAGTCACTGCTATTCATAAAAGACCTTCTCCGTACCCTAACATGATCCCAAATGGCTGTCACCGCTCTCCTGTTCACCAACAAACCGTTGTACTATCCATTCAATGCCAGCATTTCACCAACTACTTAAAACGTAAAGCTTGATTTCTACGACTTTTCTCTCCGTTAGTGACTTTCCTTCTCCTCCAAAGGTCAGGAATGGTTTCCCACCTTCTAAATGCAGTGACCTGTGCTGAGGCCTCCTCCTGACCTATCAACATCTGTCTAATACAGCTCACCAGTAATAGCTGCTTCCATTTTCTTTTCCTTTTGTCTAGTACACTAGCACTTTTGCCTCATCAGTGTCTTTCTGGAATGACCCCTCCCCCTTGGCTCTTATCTGGGCTGGGATGGCTTCACACATTGGCCCAGAGGTGGATATATGACCCAGGTCTGGGCAATCACAATAAAGCATCCTTCCAGCCTCAGTGACTGGCCTTGGGGGTAGGCATGTCCCCAAGGCAAGCCAATCAAAGGCCTCTCCCAGACCAGCTGGAACTAAGAGGAGCAACATACTCTTTCCTAGTGGGACCAAGGGAACATGATGCTACCAAGAGCTAGTTTCTTTAATTACCTCTTGAAGAAAGGCCCCTGGAGAAGGAAGCTTCCCAGAAGAGAGCAAAGCGACAAGACAGAAAATCTGAGTCCTGATGACAGTAAAGTCTCTTGGATTCAGCCATGCCAAAAGTTAAACTGATCCCTGGATTTTTTTTTTTTTTGAGACAGAGTCTCGCTCTGTCACTCAGGCTGGAATGCAGTGGCACAATCAGTCTCACCGCAACCTCCGCCTCCTGGGTTCAAGCAATTCTCCTGCCTCAGCCTCCTGAGTAGCTGGCATTAAAGGCACGCACCACCACACCTGGCTAATTTTTGTATTTTTAGTAGAGATGGGGTTTCGCCATGTTGGCCAGGCTGGATCTTGAACTCCTGGCCTCAAGCGATCCACTTGCCTCGGCCTTCCAAAGTGCTGGGATTACTGGATTGAGCCACGGCACCCAGCCTAATCCCTGGAATTGTTAGTTATATTATGACAGACCAAATTCTAATGTAGCCCCCAAGACTGCCATGCCTCCTGGCAGTCAATGGGACAGTAATCTAGGTTCTGCTGTTGCGATGGGATTTTGCAAGTAGAAGTGAGGTCCAAAATCAACTGACCTTAAAATAGAGAGATTATCGTGGTGAGCCTGATCTAATTAACAGAACCCTAAAAGGGATGGGGCTCTACCAGGCATGAGATTCAAAGTGAGAGAGGACATGTTGATGGGGGAATCAAGTCACGTGGCAAGGAACTGAAGGCAGATGCCAGGACCTCAGAGTGGCCCCCAGCTCACGGCTAGCAATGGAACAGGGCCCTTGATCCTAAGAGCACAAGAAACTAAATACAAACAACCACATGAGCTTGAAAAAGGCCATGAGCTCCAGACGAGAAGGCAGTCCTGTCGACACCTCAATTTCAGTCTCATGAAACCCTGAACAGATAATTCAACTAAGCCACGCCTGGACTTCGGACCTCTAGAAACTGTGAGATAATAAATAGGTGTTATTTAAGTCACTATATTTGTAATTTGTCATATAGCATTAGAAAACCAATCCACATATGATACAATGAATTTTTTTTTTGCTTGAATCACTTTGTCTATTGCAACCCAAATAAAAAAATGTTCTTGATTTCTCTGAGATGGCACTTTCTTGGGTTCCTTCTACCACTCCTCATAGCCCCTCCAGTTTTCTGCTCTTCCTGTCCTTTCTAACCCTAGGGGACAGATTTCCTAAGGCTATCTGCTCAGTTGTCTTCACTTTCTATAATTTCCTTCTACTGATTATTGCTCTTAAATCTGTATCCCGGTCCCTGGTATCTCCCCCAACAAGTTCCTGGATATATGCAGTGGAAATAAATTATAGCTGTTTCAAAACTTTCCAGGCCCTTGCTCCAAACCCAGCTCCTCCTCTTCTTTCTGATGGATGATGACAGCATTATCATCTTCTCTTTCTCCCACAACCCATCAGTTGTCAAGTCCTACCAATTCTGCACCCTTTCTGTCTTCACTACTCCATGCTAGTCCAGACTCAATTCCCCTCACAGCAGCCTGCTCACTGGCCTCTCTAAACCATCTGAGTCATCCTCGTTGGACTGAACTTCCTAAAGGAGAGATTACATAACACAGCTTCCCCATGCCATCCATACCTTCATTGGCTCCTACGTACTGAAAATCTTCGAAATTCTTTATTTGATGTTTAAGATCTTCACAATCTGGCCGCAGCATGCTTTTCCAAGTTCATTTCTACTTCTCCCCTCGTGTACACTGAAGCAGCTAGTGAGCTTCTCACTTCCTCTCTGAGAGCCTGTATTTCCACTCCACGTGTCCACATTTAAGCCAGACCCCCCGAGAGCAGCTCAGATCCTACTTTTTCTGTGACTTTCTTTCGTCCCCTTATTCTACAACTTGCCCAATCAGAAGGTTTTTCTGTTTTGTTTTTGCATGTGAACACCTATGGTTTTTAAACTCCTTTTCCTCAGGTTACTAATCATTTTATTCCTTATCCTAAAATAGGTGTCATCTCCCCGAGTGGAATGTGATAACCTCTATAAAGGTAGGATTTTTCTCTGTCTTCTTTTTGTAAGCTTCATGGTGCTCTTGTGAACGGCAACTCATTGATCATTATTTGTTAGCTGATTGAGAACAAGGCATTACACTTATACTCGAGTCTCTGTCCTCCATGTGTATCAAATGGAAGAATACCCTTTTGGGTGACTTGGAGAAAAACCATCACCTAAGCCTCTAAAGGAAACTGCCCAGTCCATCAATGACATGTTCCGCAAGGGCCTCTTTTTCCAACTCAGAACTAAAGCTAACTCTTTGTATTTTCTTTCTGAGGAAGAAAGAGAAGCTGCCAGGGCTGTTGGCAATTGCAGAGTTTAGAAATGCTTCCTCTGAAGGAGCACACTCAGCCCGGCAGGGTGCACAGCCCTGTCTCCACCCTGCCCACTAAGGAGCTTCAGTGACAGGCAAGCTGGGCCAAAAATGTCCTTTCTCAGGGAGAGGCATCTCCAGTGCAGGGCTGGACTGGGTCCAGTGAGACCTCAAGAAAAGCTGGAGGGAGGTTCCTGTGGGAGGCAGGCCAAAACTCAAGGTATTCTGAAGAATATGATTTATTCACAACACATGTGTTCCTCGTTCCGTCAACATTTGATCACTTATATGAGTTAGCCATTACAAAATTTCTTACAAACTGGCAGTCCTTGGGTGCCTAGCATGCACTTAGAATATTCTCTGTGTATATTAACTGGTTTGTGTTCAAGGAATAGAATCCAAAATTAGTATCTGCCGAAAGAACACATTATCACAGAGATAAATAAGCTGGAAAAATGTCTATGCTCAAACGTTTTTCAAAAAATTATAGTTTATGTTGATCCATGTGTTTCTTATCATTAGCATAGCTTATCACATAAAGGTAAGGATTTATTCATACAGAGACTCTGCAGGTGTCTGCATTTGCATATAGGTTACATCTCCTTATTGACATAGTGCAAAGTTTGCTATGCAATATAATTATACATCAGAGAAAAGTACGTCTGCATATCAAGAATAAAATGAAAATAAAATATAAGTTGAACATATAGATGAGAAATAGCCAATCTGTGCTGAGCAGCTGTAGAATGACGTCTCAGGAAATTAGTATTTTAAAGACAAGATGTCAGGTGCTCCTACTGACAATTTATTCCTGGCCTTATTTGTTCAACACGCAGGTCCTGCAGGGATTGCTGAAGTACAACAGAAAGAACAGTGGCCCAGAAGACGGAGGGATGTCGGTCTAGAAGCCCAGAGACTGCACAGCCCCTGAGTTACACATCCCCTTTCTGGTTGCCGTGAGTCATCACACACCTTCTGCCCGGAGGAGAGTTTTATTTGTGCCTGCTGAAAAGATCAGTGTTTAGGTGTTGCAGAAGTGCTTGGTGAAAATGGGGAAGGTGGGGACACAGACTGTGCCTCATGCTTTGATAATTTCTGAAGCATGTATAAATCATGAGCAGCTAAGGTCTGCAAGATGCTAATGTGTAGTCCTGTCCTCTGATTTTCATTCTCTTTTAATTCCTGCTCTATTTGCCCCTTTTTAATAACACAATTAGTAAAAATGCTAAAAAAGAAATAGCTGAATATTTTCCTCTGATTCTCTTTTTGCTATAATATTGGGAGTTATATGATAGTACCTTCAGCTATTTTATTTGGCCTGACTTCACAAAGCACCAAACAGGGAGTGAAGATAAAATGAAGAGACAGATCTCCCAACCTCTGTCCTTTTGAACAGACACAAGTAACAGAATTCACCAAAAGTATTAAAAACACAACCTTGGAAGCATCCTATCAAAACCACAACTTCCTTTCCATGAAATATCACCGTGCAAAATTGCATAGCTACCACCAGGACATAAAATCATGCTTTAAAAAATTAGTATGGCAGCTCACACCTGTAATCCCAGCACTTTAGGAGGCCAAGGCGGGTGGATCATCTGAGTTCAAGAGTTCTAGACCAGCCTGGCCAACATGGTGAAACCCCGTCTCTCCTACAAATATAAAAATTAGCCAGGTACGGTAGCAGGCGAATGTAATCCCAGCTACTCAGGAAGCTGAGGCAAGAGAATCATTTGAACCCAGGAAGCGGAGGTGGCAGTGAGCCAAGATCGCACCACTGTGGTCCAGTGAGACTCTGTCTCAAAAAAAAGAAATTAGTATTGGTTTATTAGTAAAAGCCATTCAAAGCTCAAAAAAATAACAGAATTATTTTCCAGAATTCCAAATCAGTGCCAGATTTACCTACCTAACTTCTGCATAATGTTTGCTCCCACAGGAATTTCCATAAAAATACTACGTCAACTGCACTTGTTTTACTGTTGGTCTACTTGTTTTATTAAATTAAAGGCCAACAGATATGACAACACCATAGTTTCAAGTCTTTTTTAAATACTATTCTAAGTAACTGTCTTTCTTGTTTAAATATTACAATTTTCTGACGCAATCGGAACAAAAGTATTGCAAGACAAAGGTGCTATTGAAAATTTATCTTTTTTTGCAGGAGGCTTCATAAAAGCATTTTAGCTTAAAACTGGGATGTCAATGTTCTCAACTGTGAATACCACGTAACAGAAATGCCATTTGGCATTATGGCTAGGGATTACCTGTTGAAACACCAAAGACAGGTACACTTTGATGTGGCTAACAGAGGGCCAGGTAAGTAACAAGAAATACAATTATTCTTTCTCTCTATGAAAGTGGTGTTGAAGATTTTATACCATATTTGGAGCACAGATCCATCATGTGGAGGGATGGGGAAGAGAGAGGGGTGCTGAGTGTGACCACATGCCCACGAGCCTGTTTGAGCCTGCTACAAGTCACATTACACCACGAAGGACCCTGTAATTCACTTGCTGCAACATTTCAAGTGCAAATAAAGGAAAATACCAACTACTATTTTGTGAGTAAAGGATTCTGGCAAGATGCAGATGTGCTTTGTCTTCAGAGTCCTGAAACTCAGTTAAAATACCTGATGATCATGTTTCATTAAAAACCCCAAGGAGGTAGGGCGTGGGGGCTCACGCCTGTAATCCTAACACTTTGAGAGGCCGAGGCAGGTAGATCATGAGGTCAGGAGTTCGAGACCAGCATGACCACATGGTGAAACCCCGTCTCTACTAAAAATATAAAAATTAGCAGGGTATGGTGGTGTGCACCTGTAATTCCAGCTACTCAGGAGGCTGAGGCAGGAGAATCGCTTGAATCTGGGAGGCGGAGGTTGCAGTGAGCTGAGATCGCACCACTGCACTCCAGCCTGGGCAACAGAGCGAGACTCTGTCTAAAGAAAAAAAAAAAAGGAATTTCTTTATACCATGAACATTCTACATGTTTCCCACCTCTTTTTAAAACTAAATATTTAAAACTCTTTAGAATTAGCAACATCTGTGTGTCACCTGGCTCTAAAACACATTCTCAGCGAATGACATATCCCCATTTCTATTAGGAGAAAGAATAACAGGATTTCTCTCCTCCTCCTTCATCTTGCAGACTTAGGGGTTTATCCTAGTATCATGGCTCAGGGGATTCTCACACTTACAACTCCTAACATATCAAAAAAGGAGAAAATCTCTCTTCACTCCTTAATTGTTTTGTCGAATAAGCTCTCAAAAGTTCATTTTTGTTACCTTTTTCAGGCAAAATAAGAGGCCTTTTACAAAAATTCTATTGCTAAAACAATGGAATTCTCCCAGGAATGAGTTCGTTATGGAAATGAAGTGACAGCTTCTTTTATCTAGCCAGGCAGAAAGTCTGCATTTATAAAAGGCATTCAGGGCACTCAAGTGTTGTGTGTGGGAGGACAGAAAATGCTATTTTTAATTCAGATTGCAGCATTCCTCCCATCCAGGTCTTTCAGTATAATCATAATCATAATAAGACTGATCTAAAAAGAAAAAAAAAAAAGATTCCCATTCCTGCTGACCCCAGCAGAAAAAAGAGAGAAAAAAAGAAAGACAATTAAGAAAATGATTAATACAGCTTCCTTCCACTTTTAAACCATTCTGTGGGCTTGGAGATCCACCTTCAAGGCAATCAGAGCAGATCATCCATTATCCAGAATTAAAAGCACTTAAACTCTGCTAGTATCTGCATCACCTCTTCTCACAGAAATTTACATTTTTGTTCCTGTGACTTTCACTCTCCTGAGTTTGCAGGAATCACCTGTGCCTACTGGGAAACGCTGTGCAAGTTCCTCCATCTGTTTCCAAGACTTAACATTCCTTGGTGACAACGCAATGGACCGGTCTGGTGGCAGGGCCATGCTGGGAACTTTCTAATGTCAATTACTGGAATGCCCTTCTAATAAGGAAGAGCATTGACCTGAGTTTCTGTTTGAGTTAACACAGACCTTTCCAGGTCAGGTGTAGAATCTGGAGTGATGAATTGAAGTGCTCGTAAGGAAACGAAGACCAGTGTAGATGTCTCTTTGCAGAAGTTGGACATTCAACAAAAAAACAGTATAAGATGAAAATGGAATCACAAAGAGTAAAATGACTGGCTTACAACTATATGTTTGGGAGGCTGAGGCGGGCAGATCACCTGAGGTCGGGAGTTCGAGACCAGTGTGACCAACATGTGAAACCCCATCTCTACCAAAAACACAAAATTAGTCAGGTGTGTTGGCACATGCCTGTAGTCCCAGCTACTCAGGAGGCTGAGGCACGAGAATCGCTTGAGCTCCAGAGGCAGAGGTTTCAGAGAGCTGAGATCACGCCACTGCACTCCAGCTTGGGCTACAGAGTGAGACTCCATGACAAAAAAAAAAAAAAATAGACCACATATGTAGGATTAGAGAACAGATGGGGTCAAAGGGGTATTTTTTAATGAAGGTACAATTCACATAACACAAAATTCACCATTTTAAACTGTTTTTAAAGTGTGTAAGTCAGTGGCTTTTACTCCATCCACATGTTAAACAACCATCATAACTATCTAATTCCAGAAGATTGTCATCATCCCCTTACCCATTAAACAGTCACTCCCTGTCCCCCACTCATCTGAGGTCCTGGCAAGGACTAATCTACTTTCTGTCTCTAAGGAGTTGCCTATTCTGGATGTTGTGCATAAACTGAATCATACAATATGTGGCCTTTTGTGTCTGGCTTCTTTCTCTTGGCATGATGTTTTCAAGGCTCATTCATATTGCAACATGTACCAGTACTTCATTCTTGTTTTGGTTCAATAATACTCTATTGTAGGCTATATATCACATTTTGTTATTTATTCATCAGTTGATGGACATTTGGGATGATTCCATATTTGGGCTACTATGAATCATGTTGCTGTACACATTCATGTACATGATTTTGTCTGAATACCTGTTTGCAAATCTCTTGAGTGTATACCTAAGAGCGGAACTGCTGAGTCACGTGGTAATTCTGTATTTAGCTATTTGAAGACCTGCCAAATTGTTTTCTATAGTGACTGCACCACACTACATTCCCACCAGCCAGATATGAAAACTCCAATTTTTTCCACATCCTTACCAACACTTGTTATTTTCCTTTTCAAAACAAATTATGGCCATCATAGTGGGTGAACATAATAAAGTCATATCTCATTGTGGTTTTGATTTGCATTCCCCTAAACACTAATGATGTTGGCTATCTTTTCATAAATGTATTGGCTATTTATATATCTTCTTTGGAGAAATCTCTATTCAATGGTTTTGCTCATTTTTAAACTGGATTGTCTTTTTATTTTTTGAGTTCTAAGAGTTCTTCACATATTCTAGAAACTAGACCCTTATGAGATAGTGATTTGAAAATATTTTCTCCCATTCTATGTGCTGTCTTTTGTCTTTCTTGATAGTGCCCTTTGGTTCACAAAAGTTTTGATGTTGGTGAAGTCCAACGTATCTATTTTATTTTTCATTTGTTGTTTGTGCTTTTGGTGTCATATCTAAGAATCCATTGCCAAATCCATGGTCATGAAGATGTACTCCTGTTTTTATTTAAAAGTTTTATAGTTTCGGTTCCTACATTTAGGTTATTGATTGATTTGAGTTAATTTTTGTATATGGTGTGAGGTAAGGGTTCAACTTCTTTCTTTGGCATGTGTCCCATGTGACTTTTTCCATTGTCTCATTACCATTTGTTGAAAAGAGGTAAGAGAGATTTTGAGTACAAAGTGATTTTAGTCTTTTCTCTTGGAAAAATAAAACTTTAAAAAATATATTATTTTACAAATTAATTTTCTGGCTTTTGGTTACACTATGACTGTATTAGGCCAGTATTCAACTGTTTTTCCTCATCCCATATTTTGAAGATGCAGCAAGTTTTCAAGAATGACGACCTACAAGAGCCATGATGCTGAGCTTTCAGGGAAGCCAACCACCTCTTGGGGTGGTGCTTTTGCAAGGACTGATTTCCAAAAACAACAAGTAGTTGAAATTGCTGAGTTTTCTGTTCTTTGAGTTACATTTTCTTCTGTTTGTGCCCCTCTAGTAAATAACCCCTGTCTTCAGATATCCATAGACCTCTGTTCTCTTTCCCCCAACATCCACCTATTACGATTGGTTCTTTGGAGAGAACTTAATAAACTAATTTATACAAAATCGTGTATAACCAAGAGAAATAATACACTTTCAGCATGATACCTAAGTCTGTGTTTACTTTAAGGAAAAAGAATACAGTGTAGGTTGTAGTATTCTGGGTATCATCAATTTAGCCAATGCAAGGAGTGAAGACTTTTAAATCCCCCTAAAGCATCGGTACTCCAACTTGGCTACACATTGTGATCACCTGGGGAGCTTTAGAAAATACTGGTGCCTGGGTTCCACCCACAGAGATCCTTACTTAACTGGTCTGGGGTACAGCTCAGGCAACAGAATTTTGGAAAGCTCCCCAGGTGATTCTACTATGCATTCTACTAAGGTGGAGAGTCATTGCCCTGAAGTCAGTCATCAGAGGTTGCTACCTA